GAGCAAGAAAGGAGGGAGGGGAAATCTAAAATATTGGACTGGCCAGCTCCACGCTTTAACCTGAAGGACCCAATTCTGCTTCCACTGAAATCAATTTTAAAAATTCTCATTGACTTCAATAATGCAGGATCAGGTCCTAAATATGAATGTGTACTGCAATTAAGAGTCTCAATTGCAACTTCTCCATTAAATATTTTAGAGGCCTACAAGACTGTCTAGCATAGAGATATCAAAAATGCTTCACCTTAATTCTGCAAGTACAGTAGAACCTCAAAATTATGAACACCAGAGTTACGAACTGACCGGTCATCCACACACCTCATTTGGAACTGGAAGTACGCAATCAGGCAGCAGCAGAGACCAAAAAAAGGGCAAATCCAGTACAGTACTGTGTTAAACATAAACTACTAAAAAAAATAAAGGGAAAGTTTAAAAAAAAAAAAGATTTGACAAGGTAAGGAAACTGTTTCTGTGCTTGTTTCATTTAAATTAACATGGTTAAAAGCACTATTTTTATTCTGCACAGTAAAGTTTCAAAGCTGTATTAAATCAATGTTCAGTTGCAAACTTTTGAAAGAACCACCATAACGTTTTGTTCAGAGTTATGAACATTTCAAAGTCACAAACCACCTCCATTAGAGGTGTTCGAAACTCTGAGGTTCTACTGTATTTGTTTTCAGTTGTCAGTATAGGAGCTATTCTCTCGTATTTATTTATAAGAGTCCAAGAGAAACATCCTGTTTCATCTGCCTAATGCACATGACACACAAGAGCAATATGAAGTGATGCTGCGCATACCAAACTTCCAAATATGGATGGCCTTATTCATGCCCCCAAACTCCGCAGTCCAGAATCCAACCATCTCTGAATGAGCTGTGCGAAGGTGGATGTGTTTATTGATCATTTCCACAAACTCCTTCATCTTTGATGGCTTAACATCATAGGTACGAATTTCATAAAACGTGCCATCATTTTGCCTGGGCCCTGTAGCCAAAGATGCATGGACCTGAATAGAGAATGTTAAAAAAATAACTAAAGTTACTACTGGAGTCATAAAACAATCTGCCACTTCATTCTAGATTTCAGGGCATCTCATTTCTAGATAGAAGCTGATAGCAATGTCTATAATTTAGCCTGCCTAATACTTTCCATTGTAAAGGATTCCCGCCACCTTTTGAGCAGCTCTCTCACTTCCATTGTTTGAAGTAGGCCTTCAATACTTGGCAAGGGATAGCCCTCAGGCCACTGAAGTACCTTTTCTTTGTCTAATGAAATTCTGATCAGTTTTTGCTGAGATATTAACTGTTAAAAATCGGCATTTCCCTTCTCTCATTTCCTTTTCTCAGGAAGGTTTTGGCAGCGTATCAAAATAATAACTAAACAGGAGCATTCTGTCATAAGGAGGAGGGAGAAAACTTGTTCACCTTAGCCTCTGAGGATAGAACAAGAAGCAATGGGCTTAAACTGCAGCAAGGGAGGTCTAGGTTGGACATTAGGAAAAAGTTCCTAACTGTCAGGGTGGTTAAACACTGGAATAAATTGCCTAGGGAGGTTGTGGAATCTCCATCTCTGGAGATATTTAAGAGTAGGTTAGATAAATGTCTATCAGGGATGGTCTAGACAGTATTTGGTCCTGCCATGAGGGCAGGGGACTGGACTCGATGACCTCTCGAGGTCCCTTCCAGTCCTAGAATCTATGAATCTATGAATGATCACATTCCTCGATCTGCTGGCAATGCTCCTACTTATACAGCCCAAAATGCCATTAGCCTTCTTAGCAACAAGGGCACACTGTTAACTCATATCCAGCTTCTCGTCCACTGTAACCCCTAGCTCCTTTTCTGAAGAAAACACTAACCGTGATACAAAAAAGCCCTTAGAACTACCCACCAGGCAGACTGAAGAGTACAATCAACACAAATACAATCACCAGATGACACCACGGCTGTGTCGCTCCAAATAAAGATTTAAACACAGAATGGAAGGACTATGGCATGTCCTAATGCTGTTATGAAGTAGGAACATTGGTAATGGCATCTCCAAACTTCTTTTATTTATAGGGGGGATGTATTGTACATGAGCTACATATATCTGGGTACACTGTTAATTTAAGAGAGGCTCAGGAAGTGACTTATATACTAGATTCTCTCTCTCTCTCTCTCTCTCTGTCTATATGTGGTGAGCTAAGCTGCTGAGAACAGAGTATTAATACTGGAAAATGCTTGTTAATAAAAACTTTTATTTTTTTACCCTATCCTATGTAGATCTCTATTCCTGTGAGAAGTCTAATAAAAGACAATACAGTGATGTAGCCTCAATAGACCTCTGCTCTGATCACATACGGCAATTCTCATGTTTTTGATAAGACACAACACTGGTAGTGCAATCAAAGTGAATGAAGAGGACGTGTGGAAAATTGTACAGCCTTAAGTGGAACCTCAAAAGAGTTGCTTTCATTTTCCCGGGCAAGGGCCTGTAAATCCTGAATTATCTTGTCCTCTGTGTATGCTCTGGTGATGAAGTGGGAATTTTCTGTAATATTTTTATGAAACCTATGTGTGCTTCAGTTTCCCTTATATTTTGCATGGTTACCCAGTGAGAGAAAAAGGACTGTTTGCTCTCAGGGCAGGCTAAGAGACACAGGTATGAATGTTGCCCTAGCTGTCTGAGCCTGACTGGTTCGTTATAAAAGGACTGTCTGAGGTCAACCCCATGTCAATGGAACATCCAAGAATTCAATGGAAAAGCCAATCACCATGGCATTGACACCTAGCAACCCATGACCAAGAGAGAGATTGATTTTGCCATCTCTCAGCAGGGAAGCTGAGCCCAATGCCCCAGCTCAAAAACAAAGGACTGGTAAGAGATAACAGTTGGTTGCTGGAAGGAGTCAGGGGCTTTCACCTGGGAGTTGAACAAGGTCAGACAGAAAGGCAGAGCCTGAACATGGGGGTTGAGTACAGCTTAGCTGGGCTTTGAGCTAACCAGACTGGACTTGGACTCTGCTTTAACCTTCATTTCTCTATGCCAACCTACAGATTTACTATTCTGTGTTCCACCTGACTAATAAACCCTACTCTTTTGACAATGCTGTTAGAGTGTCACTGCAGATACTTGGTGAGGTGCATTAATCCCTGAAGAGTGCAGAAGTGTCTACCAGGAGTCTACCTCAGTATGACTTGCTGAACAGAGCTCACAATATGAAGCAGGAGTGCTGGAGCCACAGAGATTCAGTCTAAGAAGACAGTGAGGCTGAGTGGCCTACCCTGAAGGAAGAGTGAGACTACTTGGGGTCTGGCACATGGAAGGGGTTCCTCCAAAGCTGGGGGTGTAGCACTGATCCTGTGAATCCGTGACAGTTCCCCACCCTCTACAGTGAAAACTAAGCAGGCTTTCAGCATGTTCTTTAGTCTTACCTTACCTCAAAGGGACATTTGGATAAGCTCCAAGAATTATGCCTTATTTCGCATTGGATCCAGTGAGTGGTTCCACGAACTCAGAAAGAATTTTTTGAGATACATTGTGTGCAATTCTACCCAGGGGATACCAAGGCATAGCACAAGCAATTCTAGCCACTAGAGAGAATTGGCAATTGATGAATGTTGCTGGGAAATCATTCATGCAATAAATTTTTGGCTCACTGCAAATCTTAACCATTGCGGTAAAATTATGGCCAAAGCCATGCCTATTTTGACCCTTAGATGAGTGATTCTCTGTGCTGGGCTCTAAATAGTCATCTTGATTTTGAACAGCTATTGGGTTTGAATCATTTCTAGCATCTGAGGAGTTATGAATGGGGTCTCTTTCTCTAGACAAAGCACTGATGGACTGTCTTAAGAAAACACTATTTTCAAACAAAGATGCAAAACATACACATTCGAAAGCTTTGAATTTCTAAGTTAAGAGCCCACTTTTAAAATAAACATTCTAAAATACAGAATTCCAGTTCTCCAGACCTTCTAGGAGACCTCAAGCAAAACATGGAAGACAAGACTTCTTCATATTTAAAAACAACAAAAAGTGGGGCGGGATTGTTCAATTTTCTCAGGCTTTTTTTAGACAGCATAAAGAAGCAAAAAAGAGAAAAATCCCTATTGGAACCAAGGTTTACCCTTGAACAGCTGACACAATGTTAAACACATCTTGTTCCTGTCCATTTTGACTTTCAAATTCACATTTATCATCATGCCAGTTAACAGGATTCCTTAAGGCTGTATTCTAACAGCCTAATTTGCTAGTGAACACAAGCCCTACAAGGGTTAACATCATAATCCTCCTGAGTGTGAGTTTTTTCTCTATCTTAGGCTCCTCAACCATATTAGTTTGACTTTGTGGGTAGTAGACCAATTTAATCAAATTAATTTCTAAAATTAGCAAGATCCTCAAGATTGAAGATGCAGACTCTAAATCCCCAGAAACCCTCAAAAGAAATCCCCTTCAAATGAAAAATTTAACGATCAATATTTTTCTGTTCCTAAATATTTAAAAGATATTAATTCAGAGTGACTGCCTACAAGTTGGAAGAAAATTTGTAAGCTCTGCCTCCCCATTATACAAATCTCTTAAGGAAAAAAAGGTCAAAATTTTATTTCTAAGGTGGACTCAGAAATGTCTTCCCATACCAAAAAGATGGCAACCTTGTGGAAGGGGTAATTTTATCTAAGGATCCTATATAATATAAATATCTTTCAAAATAGACCATGACACCTTCTTTTTAGCTTTATGTGCTGCTGTGGCTTGGTCATCTCTACAACTTGACTCTCCTGGATGCAAACTATTAAGATGCTCTCAAATTAAAATCTAAGGATAATAGAATCACGTATGAGAAACTTCAAAACATGTATAAGACTCTTCCTTATTTATGTTGCTTTTTGTATTATCACAAGATTCACTTCTCATGCCCTTCTTCTCTCTTACACAGTGGCCAGAAGGAACATGTGGTTCCAGTCCTGAGATCAGAATGTCAACTCTAGAACCCATTCAAATCCAGGTCTCTTTTGTCAGAAGTTTTTGGGGGAAGCTTTAGCTACAGCTGCGGGGAAAAAAAAGTTTCAGATCTTAGCATGTTCCCTATGTTCAAAGAGATAAGGGACAGTCACTTTTACTTCAAGGTTAAGCATTTTAAGGGCTTTGGCAAAAATCACAAACAACTCTTTAGCTCCTTTCATTCCCTCAGAACGAAATGGACAAAAGCTTCCCTTATAAAACATTTGGTCTCCATCTATGTTATATTAATTGAAATATTTGTTTTAGTTACATTGTCACTGTATCACTCACTATGGGTTCTAAAGACAAAGGCCAGTAAAGAATGGTATTTTTTTTTTAAGTTTGCTCTTGCCCTAAATATACTTTGGCTTCAGTGACATTCTGGCGGAGGCTTTTGTTTTAGCTCACATTAACTTGTCTGAATCCAAAGCAGAGCTCCATAACTAATAGCACCATATATATATATATATATATATATATATGATGGAGTGTTTTGATAATTTTTTTGTTGCTGTCCACCACATTCAATTTGTAACTTCTGTTTTATTATTTTGGGGAGTCTTCCTCGATTGTTTACAAATGTTAGCACTTCATTTTTCCCAGTCCTCCTCCGCATTTTTGTTTTCAAGAATTTGATAAGCTCAAAAAATAGCAAGAGTGATGAAATACAGTATGTCTCAATTTCTATACTATGTGCAAGATTATTTAAATCTCAAAATATACATACTTTCAAAACTGTTGGGAAAATTGACATACCAATGTTTTTCACAGAAGCCACAGAGAGGATAGGATCTGTTGTGCTAAGAATGATTCCAAACAACATGCTAACGTGCCAGTTCCAGTTATACTCATTGATTTTATAAGTTAAGCATCCAATTAAAGTAAAATTCAGCAAAAAGCCAGGAACTGAAAGTAGCAATATCTGTGAAGACAATTCATAAATGTATTATTAGATTTTAAAATATTCATAGATCCTATTGTATCACAAGATTATTCATTTTACATTCCCAGACAAAAACTATGTTAAATTGGATTTAAGGTTGAGTGCATATAAGTAAATTAAGAGTACAAATATTATTGAGATATTATAATTATCCCATAAATAAGCATTACAAACCCTAGGAAATTCAGAGTTAAGGTTAAATTAATAGAAACCCAAACATGTTAAGAAATTAAAATAAACAGTTTTTAAGGCATGTGAACAACCTTAATTCCTCTTTGTGCAGACACCCTGCAATAACCATACAATCACAAGTGGATAATATCACTGCTTATAGTGCTGGATTAAATTTAATTGATTTTTTTAAAACAGATTTTTTTTTTTTTTAATTCATGGCATCACTACAGGACAGAGTTATGGTTGGATGGGTGGCTGAATTGTGAATTGCTTTGTGTGTTATTCTGGCCACTTCAAATGGTATCACCGATCACCTGCTTATTCTTTTAACTGTTCAAAGAGGTTTCCCATCAAGTAAATTGTTAATGGGGGCTGTTTTAACTATCCTTTACTCACCTATAGTAGTTTTAAAAAAATATTGTAAAGCTGGAAGTTTTAATTTCTTTACCAGACTTGCAAGCACAACTGCACTGGGATCTGAAGCAATAATCTGCATGTCAATATGAAGAACCCCCAATTTCCTAGTGCTATGGCAGGAGTTTACCAAAACAGCTAGTCTCTCTAACAAATTACCAATATTCAGCCTACAATCTGATGTATTTAAGTGGCACTTCCTATACCCAGTCTGGTACCTTCCCCACAACATCCCTCAGACCCTGAACTGTGCACTAGAACCCAGGTGGTGTCTTCCCCTTCACCCTGCCATGTAGGTTTGAGAGAAAAGTGCAAAGGGGACAGCCAGAGACTCCAGCTAGTAGGGGCAGAATCAGTGACTGCACCCCGTTAGTTTTTTGAAGAACTTTCTACAGTTTTGACTGAACTTTTTTTTTTGCCCTGTGCTATTGTTCCAGCTCTCCTCCTCCTCCACCACAACCTCTTCACCTCAGCATCACTCCTCTAACCCTCTTCTCCCCTGTTCCCCTTACCCTCTTCCCTTCCTTGAGCTTATCCTTCTTTCTAACTAAACCCAGCAAAAGAAAAAAATAATAGAACTAACATGATGTTTGCTGCCATCACATTGTTCACTCTGCTTGTGTGTTATACCCTTTCCCCACCCTTCATCTGTCTTGTCTATTTAGATTGTAAGCTCTTCAGAGCAGGAACCATATTTTTGTTCTGTGTTAGTACAGCATCTAGCACAACATGGTCCAGGTCCATGACTAAAGCAACTAAATGGTACAGTACTATAAACAAACTTTTAGGCTCTTTTAGAACTTGCAGACTTCCATTAGAAGATACATGTGCTTCTCAGGAGATGGCATATTGGGTTCTGTCGTGTACAATGCCAATTTGGTCTGTGCATGCTTTCAGCTACTGAAAATTGAAAGGGCATTAAAAAATTTTCCCAAACACCACCAAACTGCAGGAATCAAAGTTTTGTTATTTTTTCCCCCATCAGGGGCTGGATAACAGTTTTTTTGTTCAGATTTCATTTTGTTTTCTCTAATTTAAACATTTCTGTACAATTTCTTCAGCCAGTTTCTAACTGGCAGCTTTCACAGAAGAGTTTATATCTGAACTGAAAAAGCAAATATTGAAGTGCTGATATACATACTGATCACTTTGGGGAACATAGTCAATCTTTATCTATATAATAATTACATTAAAAAACCTTATGTTATAAGAATATTAAGATTGCACTCAAGAGTTAGGAAATGCCAAAATTAAAGTTACTCATGCAATCCTAATTCAGCTCCCTTGTGCATACATATTACAATACAGTCTTTATTTACCAGCTCTAGTGTCCACAATTCAAAAAACACCACCAAGCAGCCTCCAGGTACAGATTACAACCAGCTTAGTATTTACCATTCCAGGTGAGACATAAAGCAGGTGGCAATTGTCATATACTTAGGAAGCATCATTGACAGTGCTGGAGGATGCTTAAAAGATGTGGATACTTGCAAAGCAGCAGCTGTTGTCATATTTCAGGCCTTTCTGTGGACTCTGTGGGGAAGTCTGGAGTCCAAGCAGCAGATCTACAGAATCATGGCTATACCAACTCTGTTGTGTGGCAGCGAAATGTGAGCACCAAGGAAGGCCATAGAGCACTAAATTGACATTTTTGATTCTTGTTGTCTTCATCAGCTATTTCATATTAAATGGCAGTTCAAGATCAGAAATGAGGATATTCAAAGCTGAACCCAGCAACCATATCCATCAGCACTGATTCAGTTTCGGCAGCTTTCTTGGCATAGACACATTATTAGGATGGAAGACCAAAGTGTTTACACCAAGGAAATGCAGCTACACCATCAGCAATCAAGTCGCAGCGAAAAAGGTTCGATGTCATGCTAAGATTGCCAACAATGGACATAAACTGAATATCAAGCATGACCACCTTAAGGACCTAGCTAGAGATCCATGTGGGTAGTGTGCTATCTGCAAGAAGGCTAAGTCCCCGTAGGATCTGCCACGATGATTACAGTGTGTCAAGAAGCATGTTGATAAATTGTAAAGGGTTCTGAGAAGAGCCACAAAAATGATTAAAGGGTTGGAAAACATATCTTACAATGATAGACTCAAGGATCTCAATCTATTTAACTTGGCAAAGAGAAGGTCACAGGATGACTTGATTTCAGGGGGGAAAAATATTTGATAATGGGGGGAGGGATAGCTCAGTGGTTTGAGCATTGGCCTGCTAAACCCAGCATTGTGAGTTCAATCCTTGACGGGGCCACTTAGGGATCTGGGGCAAAATCAGTACTTGGTCCTGCTAGTGAAGGCAGGGGCCTGGACTCAATGACCTTTCAGGGTCCCTTCCAGTTCTAGGAGATATACCTATCTCCATATATTATTATTATAAACTAGCAAACAAAGGCATAACATGATACAAAGGCTGGAAGTTGAAGCTAGACAAATTGAGACTGGAAATAAGGTGTAAACTTTTAACAGTGAGGGTAATTAATGATTGGAACAATTTACCAAAGGTTGTGGTGGATTCTCTATCACTGGACATTTTTAACTCAAGAATGGATTTTTTTAAAGATGTGCTCTAGTTCAAACAGGAATTATTTAAGATAAGTTCTGTGGCCTGTATTATACAGGAGGACAGACTAGATGATCATAGTGGTCCCTTCTGGCCTTCAGATGTATGAATCTATATGATTACATCCAATATTTTCTGTAAGACTCTACCTCATACAATACACAGGATGGACAGTTGTTCACTGAATGGGTAGCTAGTCAATATTTCTTTTTTATCCTCATCATTCAGTGTGTAATGCCATACATTGTTTGCTGTACACCATCCAAACCCTGCATTGAATATAATTATTAATTTCCTCATTGGCTTTTCTACAGTGGTGTCATCATAGTATCTTAACATTTTACAAATGTTAATGAACCTATCTTCACAAAACCCATGAGATAAGGTGAATATTATCCCTATTTTACACCAGGGGAAACTCAGAGACAGAGATTAAAAACAAAACTGTCAAAAATGTCAGCTAATTTTGGGTGCCCAATGAGATGCCTAGAGCTTTATTTTTTTCAGTGTACTTAGCATTTTATAGCACTTATATCTTCAGAGCAGAGCTTCCATTGACCTCACTTGCGAGTTCTCAGCACTTCAGCAAATCAGATCCCTGTGTCTCATGCTGGGTACTCAGAAAATGATGAACACACCATGGACATCTATGAAAGTTTCGGTTTAAGTGATTTGCACTGCATCACAAAGAAGCTCTGGGGCATAGGCAGGGACAGAGTCCAGTTCTCCAGTGTGGCATTCAACTGTCTTAACCATGAGGCAATCCCTTCTCTTCCTGCAGTTCCCTTCCTCATTCATCACACACTTTCCAACCTCTGCAACAAATGAGGCAGGAATCCTACACACAAGATCTCCATTCACCTAACATCCCGAATGAGTTCCCAAAGCACAGTCCATCAGGTGCACTAAATGAGGTAGGGATCCTGCAGAAAATATACTGTGAGATCATGTAACTAAAGACTGTACTAATGCATAAACAAGAGGGCCAATTAAGGTTGCATGAGCACACTTAATTCTATCATTTCCTAACTTTGCATACTGGTCTTTGCAATCTTAATATTCTTTTAAAAATCTTGGATGCAATTTCCTTTTTAAAAACCCATAAAACTGAAAAGAACAAAAATTCCATTCTGTGGAACCATAATGATCCCCAATGCGGTCTTCAGCAGGATTGGGTTGATCTCTAGAGCCACAGCATAGTCCTCTGTCACTTGAGTTATTGTAGTAACTGGTAGTAGTATAAGACTTTTCCATGTAACCTGCCACTAGAGGGGATAGAGACACACTTGACCCAAAGGGTTTCACAACTATTTACTAGAAAGCAAAAGAATGTTGAGACTCAAGAATAATATGTTAAAATTTAAATCCTGCCGGGGAACGTAGTAACTAGTGGTTACACACTCTTCTGCCCCTGTCCCCCACAAGCCTTTCCCTGGCCCCTTCTGACCTATACCCCACCACCTCAGTTCCTGCCCCTCTCTGGCATGGTCCATTTTCCCCCAGCTTAATTGCTACCTCTGTCCCCACTCATTGCGCCTATCGCCCTTATCCTTTGCTCCTTCCCCTCTCCTCCACCACATCTCTTTCCCTTATCACTTGTTCATATCTCCCCACATCATCTGTCCCTTGCTGTCCTGCTCCTATTCCCCTCCCCCCATGCTCCTAAATCCACCCCTGAGCTCCTGTGTGTCTCTGCTCTGCATATCTCACCCCCTCCACCTACACTCCTGATCCTTTTGCATTCAAGTCTGTCTGTTTCCTCCTCCTCACTGACTAGGTGCCAGCACCAGGAGCACTGAGAGCACGGGAAAGACAGTCTGCCTGCTCTCTGTCCACATACCCAATGCCAAGCAGCATCCAGCAGCCAAGAGGAGCAGTTTCAGGGAAAGTCCTGCTCATCCTTTCCAACCTTGAGATAGCGCATGCACAATCCGGTCAGCATATAGGAGTTGCAAGGGGACAGAGCATGCTCAGTGCAGACTGGAGATTTGGAGAATTTAGCTGTCAAACTCTAACTAGACTCCACTGAGCATGTGCCGAATTTGGGCAAATTTTCACAGACAGTAAAAGGCACAACTCTGACACCAGGGCAACCCTGCCCCAATGACAAATTTCAAGTATCTTGTTCCACAGCAGAGAGGTGCTAAGTTTTTCAATGAAAGAGTTGTAAGAATTATTCTTTTACATGGGCAAAACGTGTTTTTCCATAACCTTGTTCTTGGAAACAGCTTTATAATTTTAGCTGAAACTTGCCAGAAACGTTCCGTCTCATGCAGATCTCTAGCATGGAAATTTTCATCCCGAACAGTTTAAGTTTGTCAAAGTTATAAGCAACTGAAACACAATCTTATAATGGAAAATGCATGCAACCTTAACTACAGGTATCACTTTCTGAGCCATCTATGTTATGTTTATTATTTTTATATATTTAGGAGCAACCAACTAATCCTCATCCATTTATGTTTTTTCATCGGTAGAAGCCTTACTCCCTGTTCAGCTAGTTTTATTTATCAGCAGCAGGCAGTGCCAGCCAAATCAGCATCTTTTAAACAACTGGTTTAATAGAGCAGCTGTCGAAGGAATACTGGAACTGCAGCATAGAAAGGAGCACCTGTGCCCCCTCTCAAGATTGAGGAGCCATTCTGGATGTTGAGGGATGGGGGCATGCTAAAGAAGAAACTCTTCATGCTCAAAGATAGTAGAATTAGCTGGAGGTGCTGAAAGGAGCACTCACTCCACAAAAATTTGTGGCAGCCTGGGTAACCATGGGACAAATCTCCTCCCTGAAGAGATTGAATGGACATCTGACAGGGTGGTGAAGGAGAAAACAAGGTTTGGCAGAAGTCTCCTGAGGAGTATACTGGGTCTTTTACAGTGAAGTTGCCTCTAAGCTCTCTGTTGAGCAGATCTTTTCTAATACCTTCCCCCACAGACCTTAAGATCAGCACTGGAAAGACAGAGCAATTGAGGGCTGTGACCCACCCCAGTTCTCTCTCCCCAAGACCTCTCTTTTCTTCATTCCAGGTTGAGATAGGCACACTCCCAACTCACAGATGAGGTGGCACTACATTTAAAAGGTTAAAAGGTTTCTAAATTCTTATTGCCCCAATGAAGCTTTTCCTTTTCTTTTTAAAATTTATAATGTATACCAAACCATTGCAACCACTTTACAGCCACAAAGAAAAACAAGGACACAATTGCCTCCTATCTTTTCCATATAATGAACTCTAATAGGAAGTTTCTGAAATCACATCTTACCTGCCAAAATGATTTCCGAAATATATAAAAATCCATTTCAAAAGCAGCAGTAAATATTATAGCAGGTGTGAACATATGAAGAAACAGGATCGGATCAATCTTTGCAATGTATTCTGTCAAAATAGTAAACTGACAATACAAAAGAAGGTAAAGTACACTTATTAAGTGATTTCTGGAAAAAAATAATATATATTATGGAATTGGGGGGGAAATTAAAAGGTTTTTTCTATCTGTAAATCTGCAAGGATATTAAGTAATCATCATTCTGGACCAACTGGTTTCTCTTTGCTGTTCAAACTGTCAAGACAATATGATCAATCACCGACTTCTAAATATTTGTCATTCTCCTCTCACCAAACTGCACTGCCTCTTTTAACAATTTGGACCAATGGGCTCCAAGTAACAGTGCACACAGGTTCCCCAGCTGGGAAGGAAAAGGCAATTACAAAATGACAATGCTCAGCACCCACCTAAGGCAAAGCATCTGTGAAACGGACAGTAAAAGTCAGTAGTGCCTTGTAACAAATATATGTAGACTGCCAGATGACGGCCTTGCACAACTCTTTCACAGAAGGCCTTTCCCTCTAAACCTAGGAACCTAGTATGAAAGATACCTGGGGAGAAAACATTGCAGTTTTATATACAGAAATAAATGACGGTTACTAGAGTTCTTTGAGATGGACTCTGCATATTCACATTCTTGGGATGCACCAACCAGTGCAGCTTGGATGGTGGAACCTGCTGATACAGTGTCCATTAGAGCACACATGCACCCCTCCTTCTCCTTCCCTCATCATTCAAGCACATTCTGAGGAGGAGGCTATAAAAGGGGGCATGGTGCCACCTGCTACCTCAGTTCCTGACACTGCTAATATAGAGTACAAAATTGATTAAAACTCAGCAGAAAAGGGGAAGGCAGACTGGGAATATGAATATGCAGAGTCTACCTCAAACAACTCCACCTACATGCAAGTAACTTTCATTTCTCCTTCAAGTGTCCTCTGCATATTTTTATTCTTGGGATCGTTTGGCAAGCAGTAAATAAAAAGGTAGAGGGACACGGGGTCCTCCTAATTAAAGATTGACCCACTTGGTCCACAATCATTGACTTTGTACAAGGTGGCACACCATCCCTTCAGATTGTCATCTGTGGCAATTTATCTATTGCAGGTTGGTCAAGGGAATGCACATTCCTGAATAGGTTGTCAGAGTCCTCCTCCTACTGTAATAACTCTTTAATTGCTAGGGATAAATGGCTGGGATGTGAAAGAGGATGGAATGGTTGATCCCACCGAGTGACGAATAAGTGAAAAATTGGCCAATCACAAGAGAATTACCCAGTGTAGAGAGATCGTCTCATGGTGGAGAACTGATTTAGTGGCCCAACGCGCCCCCATGCTTTTGGCATGATCCCTAGCCTCTGGCAGCCGGTAAACCTTACAGAAGCCTAAAGGCTGTTCTAAGTTACATTGGAGAACTAGAGTAGTACACCATAGGCCCAAGTTCAAGGAAGCACAAAGGGCATCTTTGCATCCCACATCCACCCCTGAGCTACACACCCCTCAGTTTTAGCAAAGCATCTATGCGAGTATCCGGATCCCTCCCTATTTCTGTGATTATCTGAGCCAAATACTTTGGGAACAGAAATGTCTTTTCCTGAATTTGCCCAAACAAGTACTCCCATCCTTCTGTCAATCCTCGTTCTAGTAGTCCCCTGCAGGGTCCAGGGAGCTCAGTAGGGGATTACTAAAGTCTTGTGGTTCTAGATATTTGCTTCATTAACGAATCCTTTATCAGAACTGAAATGTCTGATGAAGTATGCCTCCTCTGAGGAAAAAGAGGATATAAGAGGAGGAAGAGAAGATGGTTTAACCTTCCTCTCAGAGACCATGGACCTTTTAAAGCTTTTCCTCTCAATCTTAACCTACATTAGAGTGTGTGGATGGAGAAACAGAGAAGTGAGAGGACAAAGAAAGGAGGTAAGCAGACCTGCATAGGGAAGTGAAGTAGCCTTAACACTGAATGGGACTTTGGATTGATAACCTGACCACTAAGGAGAAGATGTCTGGATAAATCACCTCCATAAAACATTTCTTACATGATTAATAAGCCCTTTGGCATCCTAAAGCCCATGTTTTATGGTAAGAGTCTGATAGGAACATCCCCTGGCACTCCTGTGGAAAGAAGGAAAACTACAGTACTGAGAAATGTGGCGTCCCCAGCCTCAGCAAATGAAACTCTCTGATGTGTGTCCCGAGTTTACTGGGACTTTCGAGGGGAAGAGGGGTTGAAATGCTGTGGTATTCCACAGTGTCAGGTTGGCCTCTGTGATGAGTGGAGGAGCTGGAGCATTCAATCCAGTAAGGCGAACTTGCAGACAAGTAAGGGGCTTTCTTTAAAGTGCTGCCAGCTCTAGAGGAGCACAAACGCCAAAAGTGGGATCACTGGGGCACAGTGTGGAGGATTTTTCAAAATATGCCACCTATCCTGAGAAGTAAAGGGGGAGGTTGAATTCCTAATGTTGACAAAGGTGGTGGTCTCACCACTGGAAGCCTGAGATGAAGGGGAGACAGAATCTCCTGGTTTGTGACGGCTACCATGGGTCTTGCTGTTAGAAACTCTTCTGCCTGCCCTCTGAGAAAGAACTTCCAAGACTGCTCCAACTGTTTGCAAGGGAGAGCAAGAAGGGGATTCAGAATGATGACAATATGAGCCTGCTGCTAAAGAAATTTGTGTTTAGCGATGCCTGTCGCATTTTCTGCCTAACCAACTAGCTGATTGCTCAACAAAGAGCCACAGGAGTCAAGGCTCAAAAAGGATCTTCTGCCTGGAGTCAAGGCAGAAAACAAAATGAGAAAAGCACAGGAGAGAGTCTGCAGAAACTGAAGCTGGGCAGGGAGAAAATACCTTGGAAGCTAGTGAGTGGCCACTCTGTTTAACTGCAGTGAGAAATCTATTAGAACAGAATGTTGTATAATTTTTCAAGATTTCTAATTATAAACATAAGTAATTACACTAAAATTATAATCATAAAAGAAGCATCATTATCTTTTAGGTCTAAAGTTTGACTTAAAAGTGTTAAAGCACAGTAGGTAATGGCCTATTGACTCTAAATACCTAATTAAAAAAAATCCACCATTCTATCACAACAAAATTTTAAAAATACTAACAAATCATTGCATTACTTATTCCGCATCATACAAGCTTTTTGTTCTGTTGATGCATATGCAGAGATGCAGCAACAGTTTAGTGTGTTACTGTGGACTAAACATAAATTTAAGACTGAGCGATGGTTGGGTAATAAAACCCATCTCTACCACTAATTTGCTGTGTGGCAGAGTGAAATTATTTAAATCATCAATTTTAATCACAATTTAAATCAGCAAGCAGGAAACCTTGAGTTAATCATTGATTTTAATCTTCTTCTGTATTTGTACTTTTTAGTTATTTTCCTAAAGAAAGGATAATTCTCATTAGTTGGTAACCATTAAAACATGTTGATGTGCAACTAAACTTTAAACTACATTTGGTGTTTCTTTTTACTAAACAGAAGGACACACTATATCTATACACATTTAAGCAATTATATAGCTTATCTTACATTTATTCACATTTCTTACTTACTAGATGATGATTAATTTTTTTACTTGTGATTTGTGTCAAGCTCTATTTGGAAATTTGAATTCAATTAAAAATGCACAAAAATGGCATTTTACAACATTTTTCGTAGTTAACTAAAACTACCCTACATGTGTGGGATACACAAGAAAAAATATTATCAAATCCTGTTTTAAATTTAAAACTAACTGATTTATTAAACAAGATATTATCTGTAGGTAGTTAAATGAACTGAATATTTCTGGTCAGCAATGTCCTTCAGGATTTTAGATATAGTAAATCTCATCCTTTTACATCTAGTTTTTATTCACAAGCTTTTCTACTTTTTTCTTCAGTTGGTTTCTTAACTTTAAATGAACTAGTCATTGAACTGAACTAGGTGAATAAACCCAAATGTTTTCTCTGCACCTACAGAAGAGGCTCAAAAACTGGTTCAGCACTTCAACAAACTCAGGTTACAAGCACTTAGTTAGTAACTTCCACCAATTCAGTGGTTTGACTTTCTCTGAAACTTTAACAGCAAACATGTACTGCTTAATATTAATATTTTAATTTCATTTAAATGATTTAATTGATTTTTGTAAGTTTAGGCCTTAACATATGTTGTTATAATTTCAAAGAGGTTTACTTTAAAAAATAAACCAGTATTTAATTTTTTAAAAATCCAATTATATATATAAAAAAAAAGTAAAACTTTTTTTTTTTAAATAAAATCATTTTTATCCACCCCACTGTGTGGCCTCAAACTTGTCATAGCCTCACTGTTTTTCAGTTCCTCTATCTGTAGTTACATATCTGCAGTACCTTGTAGAGCTGTTGGGAGGATTACTATATTTATGACATGAGGAAAAAGGTAAATCACTACACAAGTGCTTTATACGCAGCTTTCCAAATAGGGATTTCAATTTTTTTTTATTAGTAGGCTGATTTCTCTTTAGCACAAGTATGGAACACATGTTTTTAATAATATTAAAGTCAACAACCGTCATTCTACCACACACGTCAAGAGTAATTTCTAGTAATCCAATTGTATCACCCCCAGTTTTATTTACTTTAAAAAAAAATTATTGACTTATTCCTGTTTTACGTCAGTTTTCAGGTTGTGAGATAAGAAACAATTACACTCTTGTCACTTTATTCCACTGACATTTCCTCAGTAAACTATTCATGAATAGGCCCCCAAATGTGTAACAGTAAGCACATAATCTACTGTTTATGTGCAGTAATGAAAAGTGAGGTTTTACCAAAATTATTTTTTCCACAACAGGCAGTCCAGAAACTATACTTTGCAATTACAGTGCCTACCATCTGAGGATCTCAAAATGATTTATAAATATTCAGTATACTATAGAAGACCCTATGAATTAAGTAACTATTATCCTTATCCCACAAACGAGGAAATTGGGACAATTGTGGGCGAAAGCCAGATCTCGAAGCCTAGATTGGAACTTTAACCTCCAGACCAACAGTTCTCAAATATTTTGATAGCATGAACTACCTCTTAATAGAAAGAGCGTTCTTGCAAACCCATCCCATTCCAAGTATAAGGTCTACCTCCCCTCTCATTGACAATCTCATAGCATCCCTGTGCCAACTACAGAAATATCTTGTATGGAAAACTAGTATTAAGTATGTATTTTTAGCTGCCTCTGAATGTTGTTTAGTATCTGGAAACAAGGATACCCATATAGGATAGTGTTCTATGGTCCACCGTTTGGGAACCCCTGCACTAAACTAAAGTCCCTCTCTATTTATAACCCTGTGGGGTGAAAAAAACCAACAAACCAAACAAAAAACCCATGTGTTGCCTTATGGCCCACATTAATAACGGTTATAGTTACTAAATATACAGTACCTCCTTTACAAAGTAGCCCACTACTCCAAGGAGAACTCCAGTCAAACAAAGAATTACATTAATAGGAATGTTTGATTCCTTCAGAATGATCCTCAACAGAGCTGGAAATAAAAAGAGAATATTATACATAAAAACAATATTATTGTATATAATTTCAAAACATGCATCTCTGCTCAGAAACAGCCCAGCAGATCTGACCTGAAATTCTCCTGTACCTGCTACTTGATTTTAGGTTTGCAAACAGGCTAATATAAGAGTTGTGGAAATTTACATTTAACATGCTTAAACTCAATGTTCAACCAGTACTTATTTTCATATCCAGTGCACAACTGCATGTATGTTCCTAGTTCAAGGTCTTGGTCTGACTGGTAAGCACTGATCAGAATCGGTATTTCCCTTCGGCTCAAATGTACAAAGTGAGACAAGCATAACAAAAAGCATTCACTATATCGGCCAATGATATTTTATATTTTCTTCCTTCCCTCTTCCATTTTCTATATCTCGAACTGATTACCTCAATACAACACCAAAATGTTTTATGGACATCTGAAAGTGTTTAACCAAATGGGGTTTTGAATAAACAGCAAAACAATCCAACGTGTGAATTCACTTTAGGGAAGGTATATAGTGAAAGCAGATTATGTAAATCCCATAACGGGGATCTGCAGAGGCAATTTCTGAAGAAGTGTTTCAGTTAACTAGGATAGTGTTATTCAGCATTTAATTGTGCAATAAAGCCAATTACTTGCTTCTTTTTCCTATTTTCAATATCAAGTCTAGTTGAAAATACACCAATGAAAATATACCAGTAAAAAGTCTAACCAACAAGAGCCATATTAGCACCTCCCCAAAAACATTTGCCAAAGTTACATATAACCAAATTCCAAATAGCCTTGTACTGTAGCATCTGAGTATATTATTATTAAGTTCATGTGCTGCATCCCTAACAGTAGAGGACTAAAATCAAATAGCACAAGATACAAGTTAAGCATTATATGGTACTGCAACAACACAAAAAAGTTCCTCCAGACATCTTCAGAATGAGCATGGTAATATGGGTAAAAGTTCTATAGGTATCATGGGCACCTAATACCTCCTTGAGCCTCAATTAAGGGAAAAAAAACCAACAGCATCCATCTAAAAATGCAGACAAAATGAGAGACCTGGCCAGCTACAGTCCACACAGAGTGCTGCTTCATCAATATACATCAGTAAACTTATGATTTCCATAGCCGTCAGGTTATGAAATACAAAATCATAACAGAACAAGCTAGACTAATGGTAAGAAGACTAATTGTTGCTATCAAATGGGCACATTTACAGTTCTTCCAGCTGTCACAGACTTAGTTATGCATCTTTCATATATCAGAATTTGGAAGGAGTATGTAATATTTGGGGTGGGAAGCACACGTCTGTGTGATTATTTCACATGTGGTATTCACCAATAGTTAACATGCAACTATACACATCCAGTTCCTCAGTAAGGTGTGCCTGTTCAAGAGACAGGGCTTCTCTACACAGAGCAGCAATGCACACTAGGAGTGGTGTGATTTCTAAAGCACACTAACTTGTTGTACATTAATTGGTCTGTGTAGTCAACCCTGCTAGTGCAGTTTTTAAAATACCCAACACATTACTGTGCTGTAGAAATCATCCCCCTGTAGGGCGCATTACCCCCCTTGTAGATATGTCCTTAGAGTCAAGTACTTTTGTTCTATTTTTCTGAGTATTTTCATGTGAAAATGTGAACCATTTTCACACTTGAATGTATTGATATTAAGAGCATGGGTAAATTTCCTGTGGTTTAGCACACACATCTGGGAAATGACTATACCTTTCCAAACTGTTAACTCATGTTTGTGGTATCAGGAAATGTTCTCCGGAAAGTGTCTATTTGATATTCTTAATTGTTGATATTTGTAATCTTTCCATTAACAAAAGTATAGCTATTATACACAGGAGCAGCTCTAACCACCTTCCTACGGTAGTACAGTGGCTTTGGCTCTGCAGTAACTGCTGTGCACCCATTATTCTTTTACAGAATAGCAACAACTTTTGCACCTGACACAGATGAGGAACACAAAGATTTGGAATAGAGTTGCGTGGAGACAAAAACACCCCTTTTTGGTTGAATCATGCCTGCTTCTGCAGAAACTCTGGCCTTGATCCAGATATGATGGATATCCATCACAAATCTCTTTTCTGGTTATGGGAGGAGGACTATTTTCTGCCTTGAAATTAAGCTTATTTACATTACACATCTCAAATCCACCTCATGGATTTTACAGAATTATTTCACCCTAAGTGATGTTTATAATTCATATTAAGATATAAATATGAAAAGAAAAAAAGTTAGTTATGTATATTTGTGCCCAAGTAAATCCTGATAAAAATTAAACGGTTATTTTAAAACTGGACCTGAACTGTCAATTGTGTCTTCCAGTGTTACTTCCTTGAATCTGTGATTAAAAATAAGTGGTAAAAATTAAAAGTAAAGAAACCAAATAAGGAGAAATAAAAAAAATCCTCATTTTAGCTTAAGAAGAGAAAATTAAAGTTCAAAGCCAACACAACTAGAAAATGGGAGGTTTTGCCTTTGCTTTATAATGTGACTTTCTGCAAAGAAGGAGACCATTTATTCAAAATCTGGGCTGCTGTTCCTCACTACACTTTTGCAGGCAGCTTCACCCTTATAGTTTGTTAAGCTTCAGGTCCCCAACAGGGGACTTATAAGAAGTCCTCTCTCTCAGCCACACTTAATTCAGAACTCTGAAATATGCCACTAGACTTCCAGACAGGTACTCTCCTTCGCAGAAAATCAATGAACAAAGTTAAACCCAAATCTCCCTTTATAAGAGGAGCCCACCAGTCTGGATTCTGTGCTCTAAAGGAATTAGCCCTTATACTCAGAAAATAAAAAGTACCTCAGACCAAGCAGTCTTCCTTAACTTAAGTAACACTGGCACTTCCCTCCCCCCTTCTTTGCAACCTGAAAAGCAAAAAGGGGAGCCTGATTAGCATAAATCCACCATGTCAATGAAATGGAAGATTGATGAGGGGATGTGACCAGGGACACAACAAAAGAAAGAAAAGTGGTGCTTGTGGAAGTCAAGTGAGACACATAAAGGGAAGGAGATGAACAGAATGAGGAGGAAGAAGAGTGCAGAGGGAAGCTGAGGTAGGAGGAGGAGAGAGGTAACAAAAGGAGCTGAGAAGCCCAGTGATATAACTTGTGCCTGAAGTTGAGCAGTGAAGGTCACAAGGAGAGGGCAAAAGGTTAGAGATAAAAGGTGAAACTAGTCAAAGTGAAAAGTTACAGCCTAGATGATGTCATAATGCAATTAGGTCTGATCCATTTCCAATAATTAACCACAGACTTTGCTGACACACATGCTGAGATGGACTGGTATCACACAGGCCAAGCAGGTGATTTTCTATTCCCAGAGGTCTGCAAGGTTCACTTGGGTTGGGAGGAACAAGCCGTGCTACATTCATCCAATATGTGACGATACCTGCTTGCTATCATTTCAATATTAGGAGCCCTTAAGTGTCTTACCTCCCAGGGCACAGCTCACAAACACTAGCAGCACAACGAATGGCGGCTTCGTCCGTATGATATGGTATTGTCCATGGAACTCGGTCTCCACCGAGAAAAAGCTGCTGTTTATGGCGCTCATCCTGCCTGAGCCCTGTGTCACTCAATTCACGGGGCTCACAGACAGGGACCCCCACCCCCGAGTGGAGAGAAGGGGCACCACGGCACTGGCCTAAGTCCTAGATGGGCCTTCTCACTGCAAGGATGGATTCCCCACTTGCCCACTGCAAAGGCTCAGCGCAGGTCCTGGGAGCCCTTCTCCCACCCAGTCCTCAGAAGGAGGTGGCGAGGGGCCGTCCCAGGAGCCGGATCCCTCTGCGGGCAGCGCCCAGGCTCAACCTTTCCTGTTCCCACAGGGTCCACCAGAGCCCTCTCTCGGTTAGTTTTAGGCCCGGCCTCGCCCGCCCTTTCAGATGCTCAGCGTGGCCGTGTTCGCGCTAGGAAGCCTCTGCACCACCACCAGGCGCCACCTCAGCCTGCTGCAAGTCGAGTCACGGGCGTGGCGCGAGACCAACCGCCGCTGCTGCCGTTAGGTTTGAAAGTACTCCGGCGCGCGCGCCGCCCTCCGTCTCTTTCGCCGGGATGCGCGCGCGAACCCGCGGAATTAAAATGCGGCTGTCGAAGCAGCACCTGGCTGTGTGTGTCCGTGTCCTCAGCGGCGCGAGCCCCGCGCGCCAGGTTCACCTGCTCTAGCCGCCGTTGGGTTTGAAGCGCCTCCAGCACTCACTGCCAGTTTTTCCCGCGCGGGGCGGGAGGCGCGACGAGCCAGCGAGCGGGTCAACCTGTAGGACGCAAACAGCGCGCGGCGAAGGGGACTCGTCTGTGCAGAACCTTGTGGCCCCAGGACTCGTCGTGACTCCCTCCCAGGCTGGGGGCAGGGGCTTCTACCCCGTATCCCAGCCCTGTAGCCGCTGCTCTCCCCCTTTAAGGAGAGAGCGGGGCTGGTGAGAGGAGAGGGGGCCAATATTAACTAGAGCTGATCGATTTTCCCTCCGTCCAAACTAAAAACAACCCAGAATCTTCCCCATTGCGTCAAACATTTTGAAACACTTGTTTTCACTCCACCGTCCCACAACTCACATTTTACTTGTTCCCCATTGGGAAAAATGGGGGGAGGTAAAAAAAATTGACTACATGCCACTTTCACTTTTTAAATCTAATTTAAAAAATCCCACTTTTCCAATTGAAAAGAGTGAAATGGAGTAAAAACGCGTGAGAAAGTGTGTTTTGTTTGACTTCCACTCCCTCCTCCCCTTTTTCTACTAGAATAAAGGGGGAAACCACATAACTGACATGTTTTGGTTTTTTTCAGAAAAACAAAGTTTCCACAAAATCTTTGTTTTATTCAAAACCAAGTTTTCAGCTAAAACTTCTGATGAAAACTTTCCACCCAGTTCTACGATCACCATCAAGTAGGTGGGTTGGCCAGTTGGCTCAAGATAAACAGGCTATGGAACCCTGTTGTGTCCACGAGCCACACCTCCCTGCTAATGATGAGGGAGGCTGCAACCTACTCCATTTTATAGAGCACCCCTGCATCCAGCAATGCAAAAAGGCCACCTTAATTGGGTAGCTGAGGATTTCCCTGGTGCAGGGAAATCTCTGGGTTGTTTAATGTCAATGTCAATGTTTCTGCCTGGCCCTGTTGGGAGAGGAGGGGGCATGGTCAGAGCACACAGCAGTCTGGCAATCCCTGGCTCTCATGAAAACTCTGGAGGACCATTACTGCTGATGCAAGATAGAACAGCCCCAGAGCTCTTGGGGGAATAGATCTGTGCATGAGGCTTTGGGTAAGTTGCCAACACAGCACTTCAGATGGAAAAATATTCTGCAATGCTGATTTTAGTCAGATACTAAATAAGACCAAATTGGCTTTTTTCCACTTCCACTTTTTTCCACTGCTGCTATCTGGAACTGTTGCAAACAAGCTGAAATGTAAAACGTTGTTTTATTCCAAAGGGAAAGGACGCTTCATTTGCTTAAGCACTTTAGACATTTAAAAAGACCAAACACACAGTGAAGATTTTATTTTTACTTTGCCACACACACAAAAAAGTTTCCAGGCCACTGCATAGCAGAACTGTTTTCTCTGTTGAATTCATGATGGTCTTGCTTTGAATGAATATTATATTTAAGACAACACAAAACTACTGTAGTGGTGTCTTTTTTACTCTGCATAGGACAGAGCTTTGGTATTGTTGACATTTTTATTCTGCAAAGCTCTGGGAAAAGATCAGGTGCAGAGTAGGCATACTGGCCTTCCTCCCCCTTAATCTACTGAAAATACTCAAATGTATTACTGCCAGATTTTCAAACAGAAAAAAGGGCAGTATGCCACATTATATATCAAAAGTGTCGATGTCTGTTATGATCCTGAAAGCTGTTGAGCACCTCATTTTCCACTGAAAGTTGTACAAGTTGTTGGTACTCAGCAGATGCAGGTCAGGTTCATAGTGTCCAACTGTGGTACTTAAGTAAGCAAAACTTCTCTTGACTACAATGGTGATAGGACAATTATAACTTCAAAATAATTCTGGATTTGTACAACTTCTGTTGAGTCATGCTTGTTAAAATTTCATGGACTCCACCATTTCAATAATCAAAAATTCTGTGAAACTCCATGCTTCAAGGAAATCAGATTGAGCCCAAGCATGACTTTTCTGAAGGGAATGCAAAACACCAACTTTTCCCATAATCGGTACTCAAGATGTGAAGTAATCCCCTAAAATTGAACTGTCTGATTTAGTGACATACCACTTAGATAAGAAATCAACTAAGTTACTCCAGGATTGAATTGAGGCTCATATGTCAAAATATCATGCTAATTCCATTTCATATTGCTGCTTTTTTTTTTTTTAAGTCTTCAAGGTACTGAATCTGCCCTTTACATTTCATAATTGTATATCTTCCTTGTATATATCTACCTTTTTATGTTGTATATCATTCTAATATACTTAAATACAAAATGCATTGTACTTGATTTAAATATCAACTTGTATTTTAAAGCTCATTTTGTATTACTTTGAATGGGTTTTATGTTTGAATTCAAGATGGTTACTGATGATGATACAGTTTTACTATGGTTGATTGTAATTTAAAACTGTTATTTTGAAATGGATAATATTTAGATTTATCAACTCTATTCTCAACTTTAAAATAAAGCATTTAAGAAAAAGTATGGTAAATAGACGTCATTAATTCAGAATAACTGAAATAAAGTCTCAAAATGCAAAAATCACAGCATCTGTAGAATAATAGTTTGGGTCTCATCTAAATGCAAAACTATAATTTAATCATAGGAACCTATTGCATCATGAGTCATGAGCACAGTTTAAGAGTTTTCTAAGCAGCTACAGAAATTTCAATTGAGTTATTATGCTGCTGTTTTCAAATAAACTAATAGTGTTTGTAACATAGACAAGAATTATTAAAAGCAGTCAATCTTCAGATTGTTTAATATTAAAATTTATCAAATAGGAAGTAAATATTACTTTATCTGATGTACAGAAAGAATATAATGGAGTCTGATGAAGCATCTGAGAATATCATGCAAATATATACAAAGAATTATTCACATGGGTACCCCGGTAAACAAAATTCTTCAAAATACTTCAGACTCTTCATGCTTCTGTCAAATCATTGTTTGAATTGAGGAGCTTCAACACTGTTTTATTTCTAGAACATAATATAGAGTAATTGTTTCTTCTCTCCAGAATGAGTGATGGTAGGAGACTTTACCCATGCAGACCTCCAGCTTAATTTCAGACTGCACCCCTCAACTTTTTCTAGAGAAATATGTAAGAATTACATAGTGACTCAAGACTCTGTTTTGATTGTTTCTCAGGATACATTACTGTATACTGTAATTTATTTTAATCATATTCCTCTTGATCTTTTATTCTGTTACTCCTTTTTTATATAAAATTAGTTGTAAATTAATGTATCTCTTGTACCAAATGTCATTTTTTGAAATTATATAACATGGCCTGGTGTAGTGAATAGATGGATTGTAATAGTATATGTAGTATACATAATATACCTAGTACAAATTTGATTCAGATAACAGCTAGAAATTATTAGTTGATATCAGTATAACTTGGACAAGAAAATAGCCCTTTATTTAGTAAAAATCTGTACTATTTAGCTCTATTTGACATTGAGCTGCAGAAGCTAAATGGACAGATGGTTCACTCAGCCAAAATTGAGCACATTCACCCTGCTCCACTGCATTAGACCAGAAGTACAAAATGTAGAAATAAGAAAACAGTGGCAAAGGCTTTGGAAAGACAAAGAAAATTACCTTTCTCTTATTACTATCCATTTTCATGTTTTTCCATCCATTTTCTCTTTTCTTGGTTTGTTAAAGAAAAAACAGCCTCTACAGAGGTGAAAAAATGTAAAATAATCTAGAGGTTTTGTGGGAGACCTATGGAATAAATATTCTATTCAGAAAACTACATTAAAAGAAATTATGAGGTTACAAACTGAAGTTCTATATCATCTTCATATCCGATCCGAACAGTGCCAAATCCAACATGTCCAGCATCTCAACTAAAATAGTCAAGATGATCATGAAGGGCAGCTGGATGAAGTTGAATGCTGAAAGCCTGGGATGATGTTATTACGGAAAGTACTTTAAAGAATTTGCTACCTCTATAATGTTATTCTCCACTGAGTGTAACTCCTTAGATCATTAAGACAGTCCACAGCCTTGTGGCCACTTGGGCCTCCTTACTGCTTCTGGATACTGTGACAATTAGGGTCCAGACACCCCAGAGGGAAAACAGGGGCTCTGACTCCCAAATATTAAGCAATTAAATCAACTGATTGTATACAATATTATTGTACTATAAAAGTGCATCAAGCAAGGTCTTCTCTGAAAGCTGGTGACATACTGGTCACAAATATCAATGTGTGATGCATGTATGAGTGGTGTATAAAGAGTTATGTATGGCCTGGTCTACACTAACCCCCCAAGTCGAAGTAAGGTACGCAACTTCAGCTACGTGAATAACGTAGCT